AACCTCCCTGCTTGCCAATTAATGGCTTCACTGAGGCGCCACGCCTTCTGTAGCCGCAGGGCAGGCCACGCGAATCAGTTGGCCTGGCTCTCCGGGCCCTGCTGCAGGCTGCTGGGATCCCTGGCACTCTATCACTTTGATTTTTTCTCAGTCATGAATTTTAAATCGCCAGCAAAATTGACATTCAGAATTCCTGTAGGAAGGTCAAAATTTGAGAAGCCTGCTCAGTTTTTTTAACTGTTTAAAGACTGATCATTAAAATATATAATTAATATATTCTCTGTGTGTTAATAATTAAATGAACATTATACATTAATTTAGTTATAAATTATATAGCACTTAATGCATTTATATAATTTATGTTACTAGTATGATATTAAATTGTAAATATATAACATGTATAGCTATGAAGCAATAATTTTGCTGTAATCGCTCTGAAAGTTTCTCATTATAAAGGAGGATTCAGCAAAATTTACTTTTTTCACTAGATCATATTTCCTTAAAATAAAAAGTATTTCAATATAAAAATTTAAAGATAATAAATAATGGACAAAAGTATTTCAATATAGAAATTTAAAAATAATAAATAATGTACATAATAAATAATGTACAAAAGATGGGGAAACATTTCAGAGTAAGAAACACAAATATAGGGAAAAATCAAATTGACATTTGATTGAAAGTAAAACATAGAAATGTGATAAGTGACTATGGTTCTTGGGTCTGTTTCCTGTTGCAGCTATTGAACTGGAGTACTCAGTGGATCTTGGATTGTCATGGCACCCACTGGTGAGGGACTGTCTGCCTACCAATGTTGAATGCAATCGCTATCATCTGCAGAGGATCCTGGTGTCAGATACTTTCAACAAGTGGACCAGAATCACTCTGCCTCTCCCGCCTTACACTAGGTAGGGATGCTTCTGCATGAACTGACCCACCTTCCATTGGCATATTTTAGCACAGAAAGTTTAAATGGGATAGATGAGGTTTTGTTACCTGTCTATGGTACTGCTATATATGAACTATTAAGGCAATCTTAATAAAAATAAGATAAGCTTGTTTTTGTGGTGACATTATTCTGAATATTCCCAAAATCAAGGCCTTTACTTTTAAAATATTTTTTAAAGAATGGCCTATAGAAGAAAAAATTGGCTCCATTAACCAACTTTTTCAACCAAATTTAGAGATGCCAAGAACAAATAATTTAAATAGGTCAGTTGAACACAAAATAGATTTAAATTGAGCCTACTTGCCAGTTATACTGACATAATGTAGTGAGCATTATCATATGAATGGATGTAGCAAATAATTTTGTGTTAACATTAGCTTCTGCTTTTGGAATTTTATTTTGAACAATATCTTGAGAATCATCACCCAGAGCATTCTCTTCTGTGAAAGACAGTTGTAAATGCTTCATTCACTGTGTCTATGGGAAATGATCGTGGCTTAAGAAAATTGCCTAGTAAATGCTGGTAAAGAAGTCAAATCTAAATTACCTGTGCATTTATGCTTCTATTCGAGTAAGGCAGAGGATTAACTGCTTAGTAGAATAGTGTAATATGACTCTTTCACCATCGAAAGTAGGTGTTTATCATAGGAAAACTTTAAAAATCTTGATAGAAACTCCTGTTCCCTCCAAGAAAATAGTGATCAGTTGCTGCCATTAAGAAAGAAGCAACTAACACAGCATGTGGAATAAGAGTTATAGGTTGGTCTCATTATTGTTCTGTCGCCTCCCCACAAATGAAGAATGAATAAATCTCTTAGCAAATGGCCATAAAATCCAACCATTCATCTGGACCTAACTTTTCTTGGGATTATCATAAATGTGATGGTTTCAGTTACTAACAGCCCAGGGCTGCTTTACAATTGCTGGCTCAGAGGCACGAGGCTATATTAACTGTCAGCACACTTGCCAAGTTTAAATGAGATACGTGAGATTTTGTTGCTCGTTAAAGGTATTGCCATGCATGAATTATTAAGGCGATCTTAATAAGTAAAATAGAAAAAAAACTCCATTAAGGCAGCAGTCTTTTAAGTCTTTATGAATTCTATGAATTATTACCCAGCTACTCGGCCGCATTTTGCAAATAAGCGACATTCTAAGATTTACTCCAGCTAGTCATTATACCCTGGAGTCTTTTACTCAAGAAAAGTAATTATTTCTCATCTTTTAATCTATCTTTTAATTGTCTCTTGCACATACCCACAAGAATTTTGACCCTTTCAAATGATATTTGAAAAAATCTGATGAGCATTCATTTACTCCTCTTACCTTCTGTTACCGTATTGAAAATATGCAGTTTGTTTACTGCATTACCCTCAAGGCTCATGTTGCACAATGGTCTTAAAGGTGACACTGTCTTATAACAAAGCCCTTTGAGTAATTCAGAAAGAAATGTGCATGGTTGTAACCCAGGCTGGACCCCCTTCTTATCATGCTCTGCCACATGCCAAAGATCATTAGAACAACATGCCAGCCTCAGAGCACTTTCCTCAAACATAGGTTAACATATCTATACTCTGTCAACTCTTAATTCCTACATGTTAAATATGGCATGTTCTTGTTTTAGGTTAAGCTGACTGCCTTGTGGTCTGGAAATGTGTTCAAATGTTAAATGTTTATGTGGCCCACCAGCCAGAATTGAGGATTTCAGTTTGTAGCTCTTTGACATAAATAAATGTAATGTTGACAACTTAAAATCTGTGCTAAATAATGGTTGGGAATGACTGTGACCATGGGACATTGCCGCTTTCTCCACTCACTTACCATGTGACCATAGGTTAGGATCCCAGTATTTTTGCCACAGTGGTAGTGAAAGTAAACCAAAGTTCATTGTCCACTAATTAGCATCAAACCATTCACCAATCAAACTGAAATGGCCATTAATCATCAGTAGCAATTATTCATTCATGAAGCAAATTATCCACTCATAAAGCAAATACTTTTGAACTGCTTAATTATGTACTGGATCTTGGTGCAAATGAGACGTATCTCTGCCTCAAAGACCTTTTAGGTCAATGAGAGAGTTATTAGCCAGAAATACCCTAGTAGTCACGGAAGTAAATATACAATCCAACTATGCAATGATGGAGATCAGATACGTGATGCTATAATATTGGATGTCATAAGGAAATTTCATTTGGTCAAGGCCATGGAATAATTTCTTGGGAAAATGGTAATTTAAATAGGATATAAAGGGTGAATGGGAACTAATTAGGTAAAGATTAAGGGTAAGAGTGTTCCAGGCAAGAGTAATGGCCTATCGTAGGAGGAAGTGAGGATGTTTGAGATACTGTACATGTGGATTAGACAGACGATGGTAGGGCAGACAGAGTAAGGTGTGAGATGATGTCAGACCATGAAGAGCAGGTTTTATTAAGGATTTGAGGATTTATTATAGGAACACCAAAAAGGCCATGGGTGTGTTCAGGGACAGGGAGCCATGATCAGATTCAAATTCAGAAAAGCTTATTCTAACTGGAATACAAATTGGAGGGGATAAGAATAGATGCAAGGAGGCTCCTAAAGAGGTGGAAATGCTTGTAGTTTGGGCTAAGAAGAGAAGTGGAGAAATTTAAGAGACCAGGAGACAAGAACAGTAGACAAACTTGATGATGAAATGAACATGGGAAGTTGAGGGAAAGGGTGGCATTGAAGGTGATTCCCTGGTTTCTGAGTTGCAGAACTGAATGGATGCTGGTCCTTCTCACTGGGAAGGGAACACTGAGACTAAACAGAAGATACAATACACTGCTAGAGGCATTGCTATAGTCAACAATAAATAATTGGGGTAGATTCATCATTTATTCTTTGCCTTACACATTGGTTAGGTTATATTTTCCTGGAAAAAAAAAGAAGATGAATTTGTAGTATAGTAAGAGCTCTGCCTTATTCAGCCTTGTGAGTCTGTAAGCAAACTATAGAAAATTATTACTGAAGTCTCCAAACTTCAGTTTCCTCATCTGAAAAATTGAAGTCCTTTTAACCATACAAAAAAAAAACATAAGCTAATAATTGTGCATGGAAGTATGTATAGCATTATAAATCATTTTTACTTTTATGAATTAACTGTATGATCAAACTTATTAACCATAGCACAAGTTTATTGTCAGATTTAAAACTAAGAAATCTTCTGAAGTCCCAGTGTAGCTTCCCAAGCATGAGCCCATGGTTCTGCTTTGCCACTGTCTTAACTCATTGCCCTAAAGGAGGTTACAACCCATTGGAGGAAAATGAGAAGTATACTAAGAAGTATACCTAATTTAGAGCTTCACTGGGGAAGAGCCAGAAATGCTACAGATGTGGAAATGAGAGAAAGTGTTGAATTGCCAGAGTTACAGGGTTTCATGGGAGTGTTGAGCCCTGGACTTGAAGGATGGCTAGGAATTAGGTGGGTAAAGGAAAGAACATTTTAAAGCAGGGGAACCAGCTGAACAAGGCAGGATCATGTGGACATGATCCTGGAAGAAGCTCAGGAGTTGCTGATTAAAGCAGAGGACTCATATCTGGAAGCTGCTAGACAGTAGAGTTGGGTTAACTTACAGCAAGCATTGAAGCAAGGAAAGGGTGTTAGACTTGTAGGGAAAATGCACTACTCTGGTGTTTCTTGAGCTGGCAATATCCTTGTAAGAGAAAAAAAATGGAAGAACAGAGAGACTTAAGAGAAGGTGGCAGAGGTGTTATGCTAATGACCTATTGATAAAGGAAGAAGGGTCAGGGCTACAGCTAACACAGAGGGACAAGGTACTTTAGTTAGAGAAAATTTTAAAGAAAGTTGATAAAATTCAGTCACTGACTTCTTCTTCATTATACTCACAAGAGCTGTCTCTGAAGTTTAAAGGCTGGCAGGCTAGTGAGAAGAAGTGGGGAGAGAACTAAAGTAGATTCCAGGAGGGACAATATGGCAATTTAAGTCAAATTTTGCCAAATTAAACGTGATGGATGGAAATACATAAGGAAATACCTATTTGCAAGAGAGTTGAGAATCTGAGCCGAAGGGAAATTTAATGAACTTTGGAGGTATGAGCATGGAAGTGATAGACAATGCTATCAAACTGCATCAGCTCTCCACAAGAGAGTTTTCAGAAAGAGAGGATTCCTAAGTGCAATAACGTGAGTGGAAGTGGTTAACAAAGGAACTGAGAAGACCCAGTCAAAAGCCAAAATAACATGGTAGCCATAAGCCAATGCAGAAGAGATTATCAAGCAAGAAGAGATGGTCCTCAGTGACATAAGCTACAGAGAGTAGTAGAGAAAAAAGTTTCACAGTAAACTTACTGGATTTTTCAATTAGAAGATAATCAGTGACCTTCAAAAGAACAGTTTCAGGAAGCTACTGGAAATAAATACAGTTTGTCTGGCCCCAGAGCCCATGGGCTTAACTACTATATTAGTACTGCATCTTTATTACTTGCCTAAGAGATGTGGTCCTAGGAGAAATAGGAATGGAAGAATGCCAAGAGTTCTTGAGAAAGACTGAAAATGGAGACAGAAAGATGCTAAAATCCATTTCATAGCCCCTCATCTGAATCTGCCTCCTCTTCTTTACTAACCCAGTCCTAAAATAACAGGTGACTCAAATGGCAAGGGTTCCTGAAATGTCACCTGAGAACCAGGGTGGGTCAATGGAAGGGCAGGTAATTCAAATCCACCGAGAAAGAGGAGGGGAGTGATCACTGGAAGGCTCAGGTGTGACATGGCTATTTTAAGTCACAGTTTGAAGATGATCTATTCCTTCAACTAGCCCTCATGACCCTGCTGATACCACCTTGTTTAAAGATTAACTACAACACTTTGGATGCCAGGTGGTTTTAGCCACAGCATGGAAGCTACTTAATGTTTGCTAGAGGTTCCAAGGAAAAGTGGGAAGCAAAAGAAAGGGTGAACTATGGAAGGATTGAGGTA